CACCCACACCCGCCACCCACCCACACCCGCCACCCCCCACACCCACACCCTCACACTCAGAGGCATAGGAGCCCTTAGGCCTGGGGAGGCTCAAGCCTCCCCTAAAAAAAATTTGGGAAGGCTCAGACATTTGAAAAAAATTTACAGATCTCATCGTGATCTCGTGTTTGATTAGAGAACGCGGTTTGAAAAATGTGATGTTTGGTTTTTTCTGAAAGTAATATTCATTTTGATGTTAGATCGCAGGCATATATGATTGTATTTTTTTTTGAAACAGTTTAACACATTATGCAGAGGAATAGTCAACGCACTGAAAACGTTTATGGTGCCGTAGTATGTTTGTATTTATCATTAAAAATTTTGTTATCTTGTGTGCCTGACTTTTGAAAGATTTTGAAATGAAAAAGAAACAATGATCTTAGAATTTGAGGAAGGTGCAGTTAGAAAAATATGACTTATTATTGAGTAAAGTTAGAAGCGGCGGAGCCATTAGGCTTGGGGAGATTGAGTCTACCCTAAAAAAAGGAACGGAAGGTTTGGGGAGGCTCAGATATTTGTGGGTGTGGGTGTGCGTGTGATTATATATTAAGAGAAGATATACACACCCACACCCACCCACACCGACACCCACATCCACACCCCACCCTTTTCAGAGCATCCTACTCATAAATAGACCTATCTCTGGGCAAAATCTCAGGTCGAAATATCGTCATTCAATTTTTCGGCATGTACCATGCCATAGGCTAAAATTCCAGTAAAATTTCTATAACTCTGGACAGAAGGCCTAACAGCAATTATCCTTTTGAGCTTTTTCATACTTCACTGGGGTCTACCTTATGCACACAGTTCGAACTCAAAAGCGATCGGACAGTTGAAAACGTTCCCTCGTAAGACTGAATGTCTGAATTCGGCTGTCATTTTTGACATAATTTGATTCGGAGTATGGCATCAAACAAGAACAGGAATGAACGAGAAAAGCAAAGAAAAAAAAAGTAATACTATATAAAAACTAATCGATTTATGATAGAAAATAACGCAACAACAGGATTTCTTTAGCTTTCTTCGGTAAAATGTAGACCCTTATTCCCCATACTCACCTAATCTATGTGGAAATTAGAAAAATTCACTAGTCTCACTGTAGACTTATCAATTAAAATCGAAAATATCTTGCAAAAGCAAACTGAAATTGTATACTTCACAACGATTTTGTTGAATGTTAAATTGACTACAAATCTTGAAATCGTGCAGTTCCAAAGAGAGAAATAGGTTGTTTTAATAATATGGAAACGATAGAACTCACAAGCAAAATATACAACACTTTTAAGATTATTGGCAATGGTTTTGCATTCTTTGATATCATTATAGTACGTTTTTTTAAGATGAGTCTGGCGGAGAATACACAATCACTGGTAAACAATAGAAACTTGTTTATAAGAAAAAAAAGGCTATGGGTGTAGGTCTGGGCGCGTATGTAGAGAAGAACCACATCCATACACCCAAACCTGAATTTTTCCCACATCAAAACTACAAGTATTCCTTAATATAAGAACGTGATTAACTAACATCTAATGACTTCAGACAAATTAATTAAAAAGTTGAACAAGTTGAAAAAATTTCTTCAGTACTAGGACGAAGATCAAGTTATTGCAAGAATGGATCATAATGAAAGCATACCAGGAAAGATTAGATGAATAGTTGTTTTAGATTTGAGTATCACTGCAGTTCTTGGTATGACATAGGATAACATTATTCAAGCTCTACTGATTTTGCAAATTACTAGATGCAAAAGTTTCTCTACAAGAAAAATAGATTCACAGAAAACTATATATTTCTCATATATTTATTTGGTTATAGTTTTACACAAAATGCTATTTTTTTTTGTTACACTTTATTATTCAACTCTACAATAAGAACATGGAGTGGTTACAAACAGAAAAAATTCAAGCGTGATTAACAAAACGTATAATAAATATATCAGTTCAATGTGTTACCAAACATAAGGAAACAAAATATTTGGAACATCACGTTCGTACTTCTTCCAGTATTCGCCGTATCTTTGACTGCAATAATTCTCTAATTCAGGTACACTTCTTTTCGTAAAATCCCACATATGCAAGGTGAAGTTTAAAGCTGCTAACCAATAATTTCCACTTGTTAGAGCCAGTCCAGTGCGCCATAGTGTGTAGCCACCATAATTAATGTGGCGTGCAAGAGAAAATAGACCACCGGTATAGAGTTTGCCTTGATTTGCTGGATTATCTTTGAATTGTTTACGCTGAAATTCCGAAACCAATTCGATAAAAACGCCTATAGTAAACATAGAAATACCAACATACTGCAAACTGCCTAATTCGTTTGATGGATTATAGATTAAAGATGATAAGGAAGGAAGAGAACTGAGCACTGTTTCGCAGATACTTATGAGTATCACACTAGAGTAAGGTATCCTTGCTTCCATAATGTAGGTTATGTTAATAATCTGTTTCACGGCACCGGCTGCTGTCAAAGCAACCAGAACTGTGCCTTTAGGTCCAACTGGAACGGTGACGATACCAGCTTTGGAAAGAATTTGATGGCCGTATCCCTTGAAAAGTAAGAGATATTGCAAATATGGATCAACGGCACGAAGAAATGAGAAGACCAAGCGAGATAGAGGACTAGAGACCTTGTCTGAACGGTCCAATAAAGCGGTTGCTTTTTTTGATTGATTGGACATGATAATCTATGATGAAGAAGAATAGTTTTCAATGTTATTCGAATGCGAAAATACGAACTGATTTTGTATGTTAGTAATGATCTTGTTTGTGGATGGTAGTTACACTGTTGTTATTACACAACTAAGAAAAAATATCAAAAACGACGATTTGCTCGTTCTGTGTGTATCTTTTAAGGATGAAAAGGAGGAGAAAAAAACACTGTCTTACAATCGTACGTTATCACCAATGTGTTAGAAATAAAAATACATAAAAAAGACTATGATTGAGATAGAAAGCACAAAGTAACTCATATATGCACGCAAGCGATAGTTGGCGCCAGAAATAGGAAAGAAAAAAGTGTTACAAGTAACTCGAACAAGAACATATTAAGATTTGCAGCTTTAAAAGAGAAAAGAAGAAATTGTCAAAAACTACAACGAACCTTGTGTTCGATTAGCACTTACTATTCGTTAAAAAATCTGCTATATTCGTATCCCTAACTTCGTACCATTAAAAAGTTAACGATCGGTACATTTATAAAATCCATTGAATGTATTGATCTTTATCTAAGTATTTCTATTTACAGCTGCATCTACCAGGATAACGTCGTGCCAGTTGTGTTTTCTTCAAATTCTTTGAACTTCTATAATTCTATACCTCGTTGTCATCTTTTGAGCTATCAATTCTATTTCTAAATCCTATCATCAACGAACTTTGATTTGATGGCACTCATTAACGATGAAAGTCAGAGTGTGGGTGTTCTTCTCTTCGTCGCACTCACAGCCACACCCACATTTCATCACTCCCTTTAGATCATGTTTCACAAAATGCGATTAATATTTTTCTTGTTAATTTAAAAAAACAATATCATATAATGATGCATGTACTTGATGTCACTGAATAACTATTTATGATTTTTAAATTATTTGCACCTGCATTAGCTAATTGAATTCCTTTTACTTGTTGTCGATTATATTCCAAAGTTTTTTCACGTATATCATCAAGATTATGTTCTTGTTCAATTGAAGAATTAATTTCATCTTCATCTTCATCATCAATTTCAGAATCATCAATTACAAGATTAGATGAATCAACAACTTCTGAATTAAAGATGTAAGTTTTAAAAAAAATTCTTCGATATGATTCATCTGTTTTCATTTTTTCTAATGAAAGTTTTCCATTAAGACGACGAACATAACGATATGAAGTAATTGGTTGAATTACTTTTGTTTTGTTATATATTTCAAATTGTTTATCATTCATTTCTTGTTCATTTTCAGTTTCACTATCAGAATCATCTGAAATCACGTTCATAAATTTTTCTATTCGTTTAACAACTTCATCATTAGTTGAATGACTATCTTGTTTGAATTGTCTAAAATATAACAAATAAAAATTGATGTGATTAATAGATAAATACTTTGGTTTTTTACCTGCTTGGTAATGCTTGAATTTTTATTTGTAATGTTGAATCATCTGGATCAGCAATCATTAATGTTAATAAACGTCGATCATTCATTGCCAAAACAATAAAATCATTACTAACAATCATTCTTGTTACAAAATCATAAACAAATAATCTTCCTAATCGAAAACGATCTATAACACGATACATACATAATATTCGAGATTTAACAAGAGCAAATATATAATCTCCTGATTCATTAAGACATAATTGTTCACATTCATTTTCAAGTTGAATTGATTCATGACAAACACATGAATGAATATTATATAAATTTAATCGATTTTTATCATTAATAACTGTTGCTAAACAATTATTTTTTAAACAATAAATATCAGCTGTATCAAATGGTATTAAATGATAGGAATTTTTATTTGTTGATAATTGAATTCGACATGAAATAAGAGATTTATTTTCAAAATAAAATAAAATAAATTCTTCACTTTTTTCACTTGTCATACGTAATAAGCGTATTGATGAATATTGTGAAAGATCAATATTCATATAAATAATATCATTTGATCTATAGATTCCTAATGAATGTTCATCATCAGCAAGTATAATAAGTGATGGTATGGAATCAAGTGGTAATATTGAAGTAAATAGTCTTGAACATTTGATATTGAGTTGTTTATTTGATGTTTGATTAAATTTAATATTATTTTTATTTATTTGTTGAGTAATACAACGAATTGAACCATCGTTCGTAATTAAAATAAAAGTATTTTCATCAATGAAAAACACTCGTGTTGGATAATGAAGATGAAGACGAAAAAGTGGTTCTTTATTGAGATTTTAATGCATAAATCTCAGCCCAATAAGTATTTGTAATAACAAGTACAGCCGTATCAGATAAAACAGCATAATCATCGATTTTTGTTGAATCAGTAAAGAGACGTCTTGATTCAATAAATGTGGAATGTTGATATAACCATGAAGTTAGTTCTCTATAAAAAAAAAACAAAGGAGTCACAATAATAACTAGACATGCACCAAACTATTTCAATACTAAGAAATAAAATACAAATATGTACATTTTTTGTTTCATATTCATATTCCATATATCATTGATATGTGAACATGTTAATCATACAAATGATACTATAGAATTCACAATGAAACTTTTTGTATCAAGATCTATACAAACTTCAATAATGAACGAAACAATTAGTAAAAATGACATTTGTATTAAATTTTATGATCTTTATTGATCAACTAATAATTATGAAGAGTAAAACACTTTACTATTATATCATTACATTAAAGAACTTTATATTCATTTGTAGTAAATCTATCGTTTTCATATGAAATAAAATTCAAACTATTATTTTGATGAAAGATAATAATTTGACCGAAACAATAGTTGATCTTTTTGATGAATAATACAAAAGATTTTATTGTTAGACTTACTGTTTCGATAAACCGAGTGTGACTGCTTTTGTTCCAGATAATTGAATTGTATCAATTAATTCTTTTGTATGTGAAAACGATGGTACATTTTTAAAAGCTCCTCGTGCTTCAAACATATGATATATATTGATAATTCCATTTTGCATTGAACATAAAATCATAGCTTCTATTGCATGTAATAGAAATTATGACTTTTTTTTTCTAATAATATATTCTTACCATATTTACTTAATGTTCTTATAGTAAGTACTGGAGATGAACTAATTTCAATAGAAACAAATAATTGATATTTGTGATATATATTACATTTATCATGTCTATTATCTTCTTCCTCAATACATTGCCATTTAAATATATTAACAATACCACCTCGGGCAGTGAATATATAATATGGACTTTTAGCACGTGTTGTAACAACATTATATTGACCCGGAATACGTACATATGATATATCTTTTTTCATACAAGTATGTACAATATATAAATATTCTTTTGTTAAAATTATAAAGAACATTTTCATTGATTCATCATTTGTCTTTTCTTTACCATCGGGTAATATAATTCGTTCAATTGGTTTAGGAATAATAGATGGATTAAAAGCAATTAATACTTTAATGATTTCTTTATCAGATAAAAAAATTTGTTGTGTTTGATTCAATGAATTTAAATCAATATAAGCAAAATCAATTGGAATTGTTGAATTAAATGTACAAATTAATTTATCTTTATTAATAATAACTTGATCTAAATATTTACCAATATTAATTGTACCACGATGAATGAATGTTGAATTATTAAAAGTATAAAAATGAATAAATCCATCATCGAGAATAATACTTATTATTAATGAATTTAATTTTGAACATAAAACTTTTTTTATTGATACTTTTATTGATAAATCAATTTTTGTAAATAATTTATTTTGTTCTAAATTCCAACATTGAATAGAATTAGAATTTTGTTCAACAAGAATACATAAACCATATTTTCTATTAATTATTTCAGCAATTAAATATCCTTTTATTGATGTTTGATGAAATTTAATATCACCATGACTTGATACAAGATAAATATGATGGAATGAATTGACAAAAAATGTATAATGTTTAAATTTTTCTTTATCTTCATCATCGGTATCATGTAAATCATTATCATCATCATCATCATCTATATCTATTTTCATATCTTGATTAGTATGATGAATAATCATGTTTGGTAATGTAGTTGAATTTAAATAAGGTTCATTTAATTGAGGTAATTTTATATCGATTACTGTATCTCCTGAACCCATATCAATAACAATTATTTTATTTGATAGTGATATAGCTGCCGATTCATTACTTATAAGATTAAGATCGACAACAGGCATTGCATGTTTATTTATGGATAGAATTAAACCATGTCCTGGTGGTTGTAGTTGAAAATAAGGTACAATAAATCCACAATGATGTGGACTTTGTTCATCACATTGTTTTAATAATTTCGTAATATTTGGACTTAAACCATATAATGTTAATAAACGTGATGTTAATTCAAATGCATAATTATCTGGATATTGATTAAGTAAATGACCAAATACCATATAGGTTGTAAAAAGAAGAGTAAGTTCTGCATGAATTATTTCAACTTCGTCGGATTCTCCATATATATCGACTTGTTGAAATTGATTTAAATCACTTTCAATATCAAGAAATGATGAACAACTAAATTTGGCATCTAAAGAAAAAGAATATTTTTGTTTCAATTTCTTTTTTGTAAAATAATAATCATACGCATGAATGAATAATTAAAAAACATTTCTTCAGCTGCTATTGGAAGTGCTATAGTAGGTGCTAATTGAATTAAAAATTGAGGTAATTCATTTAATTTTCGTTTATTATATTGTATTCGACCATTAAAATCAATAAATTCAATTGGTTGTGATGTTGTAAAACGATTTGCTTGAATTTCACCATTACTTTGATCTAATTTATATTTTTTAACTAATTTAGGATCATCAATTTTAAATGGTTTATTTTTTCCATTCCATGTTTCTGTAAATAAATCAACAACATTTTGAAAAATTATTTTTCGATCTTTATCTTTTAATTTTGATATATATAATTCTCGAGCTACTTCAATAAATCGACGATGATACCTGTAGAAGAAGAAAGATAATTCTTATTAAATATATTACAGAATAAATTCCATATTTTTTTACGATATTTTCTATTCGAATATTCATTCAACATGCATATGTCATGTACTTACTCTTTTACATGACAATAACTTCCAGTTAGTGTAGAAAATGTTTCATTATTTTTTATTTGACCTAGATCTACTAGTAGTTAAAATTTAATCGATATAATTGAGATTTTTATAATAACCTTTAACAGAAGGTTCATGAGAAGGTGAAAGAATCGAGCATACGTCAAAATTCAAATTTTTAGCTTATTTAGATATTTTAGAGTAAAATTAGTCTGAATTAACTTTTGAGCACTACCTACCTACTATCAAATAAATAGTCATAAATCGTCTCATGAATGTTTACAAGGATTATACTTCTCTAAGGTATCGAATTTATTCATGCAATATACCAAAAGATCGATCATCAACAATTAAAATAAAAACAAGGTATTTAAAATGTTGTATATCATCTATTTATTGAGATTATATAATTCCAACAAGGTAGCGCTCACCCTACGGATTCGCTGACCCTTTTCTGAAAGAAAAAAAGAGAAGATTTTGACATATTTTTTATTGAAAATAATCACATTTGTCTTGTAAGAAAGAATTGAAGAGGTGATTCAATAATTGAATAATGTTTCGAAATGCTTTACTTAAATAATCATTTATCTCATTTAATGACAGACGTTGTAACTTTATGAATTGTTCTTCCTTCAGTAATAAAATCGTGTCTTTTGATAATTAATCTTTGGCTATGAATTTTTCTACCACTGAATCATCTTGACAGTTCCATTAGGTGTCTTTATTTTTCAACACATCATGTTAACAACATAAAAAGCTCGTTTCTGATTGGCCGGTTTCCCGAACAATAAACGCTTAGATCAAAAGTTCGACCTCGAATTCGAATTCTTTGCCCCTGAAAACCTATTGCAAAGTTTCATCAGAGTGATCGAAAACCCGATGAATAAAAAGCTCGTTTCTGATTGGCTTGGACAGACAAACTTTATGCGGTTTTTAATCGCCGTATAACCCTTTCTTTCAGAAAAGGGAATAAGAGTGAAAACTAATACAGTTTATGAGTTTATTTTTGGGATGATATCTACTGTCATATTTTGAAATCATGAGAATCGAGACTGAATTTTTTTTTTCATACTATAGTCTTCTTATAAATATTGCTATAAGACTTTGAGAAAGAAAAAAATTCAATACCAATAAATAACAGGTGTATCATCAACTTCTTTTTCAGTAATATATTCATCTAAATCATTTCGAATTCGTGTCCATAATATTCCTGGTAAACGTCTAACAGGTGGTATATAATGTTGAAAAACACTTTTAAGTACATCATCATCAAGTGAAAGAATATCTTCAAGTTCATTTTGACTAATACCATTTCGACATGCTGTCATATAACATAATGATCGACTAAATAAAATATTATTATGAATTATTTGTAAACGTTGAAATAAATAACGTATACAATCATCAACATCATTTAATTCATTTAAACATTCATCAATTGGATCATATGAATGCCAAATAGATATTATATCAAAAACAAGTTTCATAAATAATGGAAGAATTTGATTTTTTTTCTTCATTAAATTATTTATAAATAAATGTTGTTCATTATTTAATGAACGTTTTTTTATTGCAAGCCAATCATTATAAATAATTTCAACTGTTGATGATTCAAATGGTGGAATATATATAAATAAATTTAGATTTTCATTTAAAATATTTTTTAAATTTACAAAAATATTTTCATGATCAGGTAATGTTGATATTATAAATTTAATATTTGATGGAAATTTTATTGGTAACCATTTACAATCATATGCATCACGATGTAATTGATCAATTGAATCAAGTAATATAACAAGATATTCATTATTAGGTATTTGTAAAAGAAGATTTAATTCAAGTTGATCACAAAGTTGATTGATATCTGAATATGAAATCATAGGAATATTATATATTTCAGATATTTGTTCTGATATAGAATGTAATGTTTTATAGATAGTTGAAGAAGATGGTGTAGTTCTAAAATAATTATTCATTATTTTTCTATCTCTCTTCTATGTATATTTAACTTACCCAAGAAAACGTAAAATAACTGAAACAGATCGATCTGACCACCATTTAAATATCTTGAAATTAAAATTTCAATTATTTAAAAATGTTATGAAAAAAAAATTAATTACCTCTATTGCAGTCTTTGCTAATACACTTGTTTTTCCACATCCAGAATCACCATATATAACACATGGTTGATGTTCTCTATTATTCTTTATATATTTTTCTAACTAAAAAAAATAAATAAATATGAAATATTATATTTTAAATGGAATCTTTTTTTTTTTATTATACTTTAGATAAAACATCAATTCTTCCATGAAATTTTCCAATATGTGTTTTACATTGTATAGCATGTTCTAATATTTCATGTTGTAAACTATCAGAACCAATTGTATAACGTGATTGAACACAATGATCAATTTGTTGTTTAATTGATGTATAAAAATCATTATTAAATTGTTCTATATATTTTGAATGATCTTGTCCATTAATACCATTTGATGACCAATGAACTTTATATTTAAATATATTTTGAGATTTTAAAATAGATGGAATACGAATATTTTTTAATCGATCAAGTAATTTTTTAGCTTCTTGATCAATATCTGTTTCTGATGACATATCTATAAATTTTGATGTTTTTTCATCAGATAAATGATCATGAATATCAACAATTTCACGTAAAAAACATAAAGTACGTTCATTAGCATCTTTTGATGATAAAATTCCATTGATAATCTCTTTTTCCGTAACTAAAAATCAATTTATATATATATATTAAATAAATAAACAGATGAAAATCTTTACTTGATATAAAAAACTCATCATAATCAATTTCAGTAATTTGTCCTTGTTGAAGACATGTTTCTGCTGCTTGTCGAAGACATTGTCTTAGACGATTATTAATTTTTTTCCATTCTTTATCTGCTTGTTTTATTTCATCTGTATTCTAAAAAAAAAATATTAAAATATCAATAATCTTTTTATAATAAAATTTTTATTTTTTTATTTACTTTTGATAAAAAATTCGGTATAATAGATGAAATATTTTTTAAAATATATGTAGGTGGTATAGAATTCGTATCAAGTTGATACCATTGAGTTAATAATTTTCCTTCATTATTTTCATTACAAACAGTTTCTTTTAATAATTCAAAAAGTGATGCACGAATTTGAGCTGGAATTGGTCGAGAACCATAACGATGACTAAGTAAAACCTAATATTAATTGATAAATAAATATTGTATTGTTAAAAAGTAAACAAACCACAAAATTTGTAGCAACAGAATATTTTTTGCATAATTCAATTTCTTTTAAACATGTTTCAACTTCTCCATGATTATTTGCTGATTCAATTTGAATACCCCATCGCATATCGACATACTTTATTTTTAAAATAAAATAAAAAATTCTATTACAATTAAAATAATACTAATTAACCTGAAATTCTAATCCATATTTTTCACGACAATAATTTTTAAGTCTAGGAAAGATATTTTCAATTAAAGAATCTCGTTCTATTAATGTATCTAAAAACAAAATGTTGTTCTTTTTTTTTTTGCTATAAAAGAATTTTTTTTTCAAGAAATTTTTAACCTGTAAATGTTGAACTAACAAAAACTCGTACAACTTTCGATCGAACATCAGGTAATTCTTGACATTGTCCTCGCAAAAGATCCAAATAATAAGATGATTTCATACTATAAAATACAAAAGTTCATTAGATATTAAAAATAAATATATTTTATTACATATAACGACATTAATTATTAACATAATATTTCTTTCAATATCCATCGGATCTAATAACACGATGATTCTCAATGTCTTAACACATGAGATAACATCTCTTATAATGATTTTTTTTCATCCATCAAGTTTAAAGTACTAAATATGATCATGATTGAAAATATCAGATAGAAATCCATCTAAATGAAAACTCAACGTCATTTTTCATTTATAGTCAAACTTCTATTATTATTCTAATGATGATCAACTTAACTTTATTATTACTTTACTATGTTCATAGAAACAGCATGTAGACTCACATTTATTGAGTGAGTCAAACAGATGTCGATATAAAAATATTTCTATTTCATTCATGTCGAACGGTAATGACTTTAAGAGCTATGTAGACAAGGTTTTTCAGTCACTCAAATTTTGGACAATGCAAAATGCTTGAATGCAAGCATGTTTTATTACCGAAAAATTAAAGTCTCATGTTTTCTCTATAACAAGAATAGTAAGTTGATTTTCCGTTACTATAGAATCACCATCTTTAAATTGCATCAATTGGTTTGTTGACATAAGTAACCAATAAAATTTAAACAGACGAGATGGAAGCAGAATATCCGATAGTCAACTGCATCGCACACCGACTTCGAGGTAGTCGGAATGAGAGTCGGAGTTGCACTAATAAAATAGTCAAGTATTTTTTACCTTTATATAGCAGCAAATTTATTTATTATGCTAAATATCAAAGAGATATTCACATTCATTCACTTGAATCTGATTTTTTTTTTCTCAACAAATTTTGAATGTTTTATCATCATCTGCTATTAGTTTTTTCAAATTTTTTGTCTCAAAATTTTCTCAGTCATTTTTGATAAATCATGAGAGAAAAAGTAAGTTCTACATTAATCAAAGCTGTGTGTTTTTACTGATTCGTTTACTTGTTTATTCTTTCATAATTTTAAGTGTTATAGTGATTAAGATGTCTATAAACTATGCAAAAAAAAATCTTTGGAGTTCATCGGAATTGAAATCGTGTTTCGGTGTCAAAAAAAATTTGACTCCGCAGTTCACTAATATCCGAATATCTTTTCCTTCTCAGGCTGGCTTATACTCTTTCAGTATATGTGCGGAATTTCTTCCAATTCATAGATAATATTATTCAGTTAATTACGAAACACTTTATCAACAGATTATTAAAAGTGAAAAGCTGCAGCATTAGTGTGTTTATCAAAGAGACTTATGAAATAAACACTTTGACGAAAATTATTATTTGTGAACATGGACCACTTTCACCATAGTTTTTGCTATTTAGACAGTTGTATGAGTTCCTATTGTTTTTTTTGTTAGCTTAAAAAAACCATATCACATAATGATGCAGAGTGTGAGGGTGAGGGTGAGGCAATCAATAAACAGATCAACCTATCTTCTAAACAAAAGACAAAGTCAATCTGCTGTTCTCAACTCTTGCTTTTCAGCCGACGATTTTTCAGTCGAATTCAATCGAGTGTTATTTAATATGCTTGAAAATCAAAGAATAATGCAGAGTTTGATTTTCCGACGCGTTTCGTGCTATTTTATTGAAAAATTAAACACTCATCAGAATTCTGCATACAATAAGCACAAGAATATGTATGAGTGGAAAATAGAACTGAAAAGATTTTTAAATGATTTCTAAACGAAAAAACGAAAAAAAAACAAGAAACAACGAATGGAGCGGGAGATTTTTCTAAAAATTTTTGAATAGGATTCCAATGATGATTCACATAAAAGGCAATTCAGGCCGAACAATTAGAAACGTTCACAGTAATAAGAGTTGTTGAATATGGATCGACAGTGGTTACTGTGCTAATGGAGATGTGCATCGGTTCAGCTGCTAGTGGATAATTTTTTCCATGGATTTGGACTAATATTAGCTTAATCTGGACGACCACTTAAGCACCATTTACGTTATTGGCCGAGGGCAAAAAATATTTTTCATCCTTGTCGATACTTCAAGCATTTGCACTGATCACGGGTAAAAAATTCTCAGAAGAACTATTCTGGAACTTAGAAAAACTTCTTGGACTTCTGTACAGACTGGATTTTGGTCTTGGGTGTGAATGTAAAAAAGGTAAACTCACACCCACTCTTGTATCAAATCAAAGCGCGTCAAAAATGGGATCTATCAGTATTAAATAATAAGTGTTATGGTAACTTTTCAATGTCGAATTCATGAAATTTCTAGAATCGAACACCATATTGATAAAGAAAATTTTCTAGTAGGAGGCAGTTCGAACGAGATCTGATTTGCAATAGTGAATATTTCAAGGTAATCATCAACACCCGGCTTGGAAACATTGGAACAATAATCAAAAAATGAAGTTAAAGAAAATGTTATCAGAGACAAAACATAAACATTCTCACGAAGAAACTCTGAAAAAATCACATTTCAGAGGTTTTGTCAAACATGAAATAAACATTGAGTTATCTGAAACTCATTTATGTTTGTAGCTGTTCCGTTCTCGTGCTGTCAACAACTGTAATGGTCATCTTGTTATACTCATCATTTAAAGTCAGATCTAGTTCGAACTGCCTCACACAAGAAAATTTTCTTTATCAATATGGGGTTCAATTCTAGAAATTTCATGAATCCGACATTGAAGAGTTGGAATAACACTTACTATTTAATACTGATAAATCCTATCTTTGACGTGCTTTAATCTGGTATAAAATTTATTATTGATTCTATTAAAAATAACACCGTTACTCCTTCCCGAGTAAAACATTTTTTGGCAATCCTGTATATTTATTATAACTATTTATTGATCAATATTATGCTTTGACAAATGAGCAGATCATTTTTCAAATGATTTTTGCTAACGACCAAAAAGGTCATCAATTTCTTTTTCTTTCGAAAGAATAAATTTTGCGAAAGTACCTACTAACATAATTAGAAGCATGAAACACTATCGAAAAATTGTTCAAATATCGATTACGGATCAAATGAACTCAAGTTGAAAATGTTAATAAATATGAAGGGAAAAGAAAATTATATCGATCTATAGTTAATAAAGTTAGTCATCTATTAAATGAAACTTTTACGAAATGATGCCTGAGAACGAATATTGAATACTCAAGTGAATTCGAACACTTCTGGTTTATATTCACTTTTGGATTCGCTGGAGATTTCTAATTGGCTGTATTATATATGGAATCTAATATTCTATCTATCGACAATGTTGTGTATAGATGGTGAGATATCTAAAATGCAAGTTCTATGTATTTTACTACGAAATAAAATATAAAAATTCTTTTTTAACTCAATCGTACTCTGTTCAATATCAATAATCGAATAAAAATGCAATGAAACATTCGATTGTTAGGCATTGTCTAATTTTAAGCGATTCAAATCATCTCGCATGATGTAGAAATGAATCTCGAAGTGTACACTTCATTGGATATAAATTTCTTTGAACAAGAATGAATTTTTTTCTACTCTGCAATCATTTTTCATCCACTTCTTTTCGTAAATAATTTATTGTTGCTATCCCCAATCCTTCTCAATAGTGTATGTATTTGAAAAGAATTTGAAGAAACGAAAAAACCGATGCATAGTAAACAAAAACGGAGCACGAAGCGTTGCAATGCTGCAAAAGTAAGAAACAAATCATTTGCAAAAAAACCAAGTAAACAGCGCAACTCGTAAAACCTCCGATCAAAAGCAAAATACTTAAGTTGCCGAGAACATTTTATCTTAACTACTGTACTGTGTTCAGTAAACTATTAGTAAGATTTGAAAGCGAAATAAACCTTTTTGAATGTTATATACTTAGCGCCAAGATGCTGCAAATATTAGAAACAATTCAGACAGATATGCCATTGACACCCATGATTGATTTTACTTAAGTCGATTGTTTTTTTTTTAATATACGTCATCCACGAGTCATGCTCATTTATTATGGCTTAGCTGTCTCTTGAATCTTTGATCTTTTCATTCATGTAAATTCTGTGATGTTATCTATATCTGGCATGATTAATCTATCTCTTTTTTTCTACTATTCAGTGTAGAAGAGACAAGACCACTATTATAAATTTTGAGTGTAGTTAAGAGTAACAGTGGGAAATTTCCAGCAGGAATTTGATTTGTTCAAATGAAGATGTGAAAATGTCAGTCAGAGAGCAATGCATGAGAATGAAGAAGAGAAGCCTTTGAGTCTAGCGAAATCCGTGACATTAAGAACGGAAAGCTTTGTGTTACTGGTCGACGTAACGGAGTTAGAGGGATAAACTTAGGCGTGGGTGTGCGTGGAGTGCAGATGTAGGTTTATTCCATTTTAGCGTTCACCCACACTTGCGCTCTACACCTATTCACACACCACACCCACTCTCACTCATCCATACCTAC